CATTCGTCCCCATGTGCCAGAAATTCCATCCTCTCTCTCTCTCTCTCTCTCTCTCTCTCTCTCTCTCTCTCTCTCTCTCTCACACACACACACACACACACACACACACACACTGTGCCCATGCACGTGGGACGTTGCCTTGCTTGCCCAGCAGATTAGGCAGCATATCTTTTTCAGACAGTAGATAGGTAACGGAGATTGACGGTCAGATATAGAAACAGAGAAGAATCCGAGATATCCACTCTCTATCTACGGTCGAGACCTTAGCCCTCGGATGCTTAATTTTGCTTGCGCACGCATGATAGACGGGTCGGGACCTTGGCCCCCACATGCCTGGAGTTGGATTCTGCACCCCATGCACCTTGCTGGTGGGTGTAGTAGTGGGACGACTCCCACGTTCCACGCCGCGGCCTGCTTCCAGAATCATCGACCAAAATTAGTCATGATAAGTAAAGCGATAAGAGCCCATTGCATGCATTTGAATATATATGGATAAATCATAACTGTGGATAAACAGATGGATAATAGCTGTGGAATCTGTGGATAGAAAAAAAGCAATGGATATTAACTCTGGAGTAAAAAAAAACAGAAGGATATTAACTGCGGATAAAACAAAAAAAACAGATGAATATTATTAAGTTCCTAATAACTTATTATTAATTGTGGAGTAAAAAAATAAAACAGATGGGTATTAACTGTGGATTAAAAAAAAAAAAAAACAGAAGGATTATTAACTGTGCATAAAAAGACGATGAGTTCGGAACTTGGGATGGGCACTTTTGTAAATGTATCTGACTGCAGTTACAGCAGGACGTGGATGAATCTGTCCAACATCACGTCCAGAGCTTAGTAGAAAAAGTCTTATGTGAGTATACCCTGAGTGTGGGAATAAAATGTATACAATCATGTTCGGAGCTGGCCCTTTTAAAAATGCACCAAAAAAAAAAAAAACAAGTGCAGCGATGCACCCAAATACAGCGCAGCCACGCACACACACACACATGCACATGTGAGAAAAAGTAAGAAAGAAGTCGGCACACAGAAGTTCGTTCAGTCACACTATTTTTTTCGTGGGCTTGTGTATACCGAACATGCAACACACACACNACAAAAAAAAAAAAAAAAAAAAAAAAAAAAAAAAAAAAAAAAAAAAAAAAAAAAAAAAAAAAAAAAAAAAAACCCAGAAAGAAACAAAGCGAAAGGAAGAGAAGAGAGGATAAGTGAAGAGAAGAGATAAGATAAGACAGCATAATTACACCAGAACTAACAACAACAAAAAAGAAAAAAGAAAAAAGAAAAAAGAAAAAAGAAAAAAGAAAAAAGAAAAAGAAAAAAAGCTTAAGGTGACATGGTGCACACATTACCCTGGCACGACGGAGCTGGTAAGGGGGAGGCCGTACACATGGTCACCGATTTCGGGGCTGACTTCAATGATCGGGATATCGGTATATCCTTGTCCGTACATGAAGAAATCGCAAAAGTCGACGGGAACGAGAGCGAGTCGTTTCAACCACCATGGAAGTGACAAGGTCGATGGACGAGGTCCAGAAGAAACTCTTGTTCCTGGTTCAGTAGCGGAATATGGTCCAGGTGCAGAAGATGAACCAGGTGTGGAAGATGGACCAGGTCCGGAGGCTGGCATGCCTCGCAATCTGTTCCCATTTCCATTTGCATTTGCTGTGCTCACGGACCTCAGCGGCGACTGCAGGCTGAGAAGGAGAAGATGAAGAGTGATCAGAAGACGGGTCTGGAGAGACAGAGATCTTCCGGTATTGCCAATCCATCGGAGGACGTGGCATCCACTTTTCTTCGTCGACTTGCGCCACGTTGGCAGCGCCGCTGGCGCGGGAAAAACCTCCTCCTCCTGGCGCGCAATCATTTTCTATTTCCCCGCCCAGAAAGAAAAACACTTACAGTGCTACCAAGTGTATTTATATCCGCAATTGATTGACTGGTTGATTGCTTGATTGCTTGATTGCTTGATTGCTTAATTGCTTGATGGATGGGGTGATTGTGTCGGCTAATTAATGGCTTCGTCACGTCGTTGCCGTCTTTGCTCCCTGTGTTAATTAATGGATTGATGGACGATGCTATAAATAGAAAGATTCTATAAATAGAATATCGGCGAAGAAGAATAAACTCTGGCTTGTCCAAACACGAGGAGCAGCGAGACGAAGGACAAACTGCCACGGCGCTCCCTGTGCCGTCTGTCAGCAGCAAGGAGAGAGAGACACGTGGCACTTCCTGCAGCGCCGTCACACGTGGCGAGACACATGGTGCTTTAATGCTGTCTGTCACGTCACATGATGTCAATCGAGAGCCGAAGCTGATCTCCAGAACAAGCAGATACATGTCCACCCAGGTTCACCCCCACGTCCCGATCCCACTCCATTGGCGTGCCCTGTCCCGACTCTGCACTCAACTTGCCACTCCAACATCCCCCCCCCCTCCTCCTCCTTTTCTTCTCCCCCTCCACCCCTCTTGCTACCCTCGGAAAGAGAACCGGATCCAATCCAGCCAACGATGACCTCACAAAGCTAACTGGATCCCAGTCCTCCTTGGGCCTTGGCTTCACAAAGATCTCCTTGTCCTCGCTCAGAAAGAGAACCGGACCCCAATCATCGTCTTCATATTTCACTCTTCCGCCATATCCTTCTTCATTGCATACCACGCTGGCTTGTCTTTTCTTTTTTTTTATTTTCCATTTCCCTACTTTTCTATTTTTCTATTTTTTAATTCTCTCCCCCACCTCCTCCTTCTCCCCCCCAACCCAACTTTTTGTGCACTACGCTGGCTTGTTAATCAACTAATCAGGATGCCCAATCAATGGATGCCGATCAATTAAAGGCATTCAACCAGTCATGAACTCAAGCAATCAATTGATCAAAGTGATTGGTAATGAATGACACGTGTCGAGTCGAGCCTGCATGAGGATAAGTAAGAGAGAGTGATCCCGACGACTGACGCGTCTCTTGGCCTGGGAAAGATTTATGAAGATAAGAGCGCCTGGTTCTCTCTCTCTCTCTCTCTCTCTCTCTCTATCTATCTATCTATCTATCTATCTATCTATCTATCTATCTATCTATCTATCTATCTATCTATCTCTCGGTGAGTAGATGATGAATGTGGCCGTTGATCTGGCTTGCAGGACATCTCGGATAAGACTCGAGATCCTGATGACGAGTGACGACCGTTGATCTTGCTTGTAGGAGATCTCCGATACGAGTCGAGATCCCGAGAGACTGCATGAGACAGTGACAACAGGAAAAAAATGGATGGGATATCAGAAGAGCAGAGGTAAAGCAAAAAAGGAAAAAAAAAGAGCTGCCCATGAAAAATACAACAGGAAAAAGATGGATGGAAAATAGAAAAACAGAGATTAAAAAAAAAAAAAAAAGCTCTGCACGAAACAGCAATGGCAGAAAAGAGAGGGGAATGAATAATAAAAAACGGAGGTTTGAAAAGGGGGGGGGGGGTAAAACAGGGGAGAGTTTGACGATGACAACATTAATGTACCATAATGGTTACCAAAAAAGGAAAAAAAAGAAAAACAAGAAATAACATGTAGAGTGAAAAAGCATGCTAAGATTAAAAAAAAAGAAAAGAAAAAAAAAAGAAGAGAAGATCGAATTGCACTAAAATGATAGGAAAATCAGAAAAGAAAAGAAAAAATCTAAGTAGTAGAACTAATGCAAAAAAGACTAACATGCCAAAAAGTGATTTAATGGGGCCTATTGCAGAAAAAAACAATTGCAGTTAATAAGACCCAGTATTAAAACAGAACAACAACAAGAAAAAAACTTGCTTAAGAAAGAAAACAGGGTTGATGTACTATGCAGTGTACGCACAATCATTTTTTATATAAAATTTGTCAAGGTTGAGATATTTAACAAGATAACTCTTGAGATTTTTTTTGAATTTTTTCCCGTTTTTGAAGATTTTTTAATTTCATGGAAAAGAACGTTAAAAAAGAGATGATCGCATTTATAGACTTTTTCCTAATTATTCTCCTTCCGGTTCTCGATCCGCACGCACTATGCCTTATGACTGAAGGCAACATAAGGGCATTATTTATTTATTTTTCTTCTTTTTTTATTATTTTAATTTCTCTTTCCATCAGACGGTGACCATTTGCAGTATGCAAGAAAAGCAAATCTGTGAATACGGCTTCATTTGCTGGGGTGGGGGGAAAGCAAATCTGTGAGCCGAATCACATGGCCCGTAATAAATGTTGGGAAAAAAAAAAAATCTATGAGCTCGATCAAAATGAAAGGCCTTCCACGATTCAGACCCCAAATTCGGGGTTTTCAGGGTAAGAGGCCCTGGCCAAGAAAGGCCAAGTTAGTCAATTTCAGAAAAGTCACGGTCGGATACTTCAGCGGTCTAGTCCAACAGGCACCCAGCAAACAGTCACATCTCAGGGACAAAAGTCACGTCTCATAATGAAAAGTCATATTGAAGAGTCACATCCCACGAGTGAAAGGGCAGTACCATAGGCAAGAGTCATGTCTCAGAGGCAGGAGTCACAGTCCACAGTCAAAACCATATGCTAAAATCGAAAAGTCACGACTCAAAGGCCCAAGCAGCAGCAGACCTATGGAAATTAGGGAAGGTTCCAAGCCTTCACATTTGAAAGCAGCCAGGCCGTGGGGATGTGGTACCGGAACCAGTCAGGTCCCAAGAAACAGAGGCTGGCACGAGTTGAAGTGCAATCCAAGACTACAAAAGAATTGGCCAGCCTCCCATTCGGGCAGATTGCTCATTCGCAAGAAGTGTGGAAGCGCTGGTGCACTTGTGCGCTGTAGTGAGGGGCAGAGCGCTGAAGCCAGACTGCTGCGCTAGGGGAGAGAGAGAGAGAGAGAGAGAGAGAGAGAGAGAGAGAGAGAG